GGAATGAGTATGTTAACCTGACAACTTTAAGGAAGTCTGCACCTGCAGGATTCTCAAACTGAGGGTCCTGAGCTCTCAGGAGGTTGTTATATGAGGGCCACAGGCTGTCAACCTCCAACCCCAAAACCCACTTTGCCTCCAGCATTTATAATAATGTTTTTCCCCACCAATTGCATTTCCCCAGACTTCCCCACAGAATAACCCTGCAAAGACGGACTGAGCCCTTGCCCCTTAGAGCCCACCCCCACCCCGTGTGTGTGTGTGTGTGTGTGTGTGTGTGCTGCATCTGAGGCAGCAGCAGCACACAGGAGTCCACGTGCGAGTGGTGCTGAAAGTGCCCGGGCGTCACGAGCTTTCCCCCAACCCAGGGCTCAAGCCTCCACGGGTTTCTCCCTGCGAGCGCAGCAGCAGCCTCCCGGGTGCCATATCCCCCACTGCTGCGTGGGGGGCTTTGCTCACGCAGCCCCCTCCATCAGGGCTGCCGGCTGCAGCCTCCCATGCTTCTCCTATGGGGACTGCAGCAGCAGCGTGCAGCCCCCTTGATAACCCTCTGCCTGTCTGCTGCATGGAGGAATCACGAGTCCCTGCACCCCAAGCCTCCCTCCCTGCTGCAGAGCGGGAGACAGGGCTTCCTGCCCCCACAGACTTCTCTCGCCCTCTCCGCTGCAGGCGAGAGACCAGGACTGCCCCTGCCTTGGTGCATGGAGACACCGGAGTTGCTGCACCCCAGACTTCCCGGCGCTTAGAGCATGAGGGGGGAGCAGGGGTTGCTGCGCCCCGGATTTCCCACTGTCTGGTGCATGAGGATCCGGGCTCAGGATCCGAGACCCCTGCCCCTCGCAACTCTCCTCTTCACGGTGCATGGGGTGCAGTGCAGGGCACCCCCGTGCCCGGGGGATCCCGGCTCGCTGCGCCTGGCCGGGCCCCCTGCCCCGGTACCTGGCTGTCGGTGAGATAGCTGAACACGAAGGAGGAGAGCTCTTCGTCCAGCAGCGCGCTGCAGTCTGGCGCCGGCTCCGCCATCTTCCAGCTCCGGCCGGCAGCGGCGGCACCAAGCAT